TTTCAGGCCCACCTCCTATCAACCCCCTGTGATCAAAGTCGTCGAATGCCATGAGCCGTCTGATCAGATGACCATGTGATGAACATGCACATCCACACCAAATATGAATAAAAAAGAATGCCTTGAGCTGGTAGAGGGAGGTATGAGTGGCTAGACACGAGAGGATCTTCTGCTCTGCGCTTGTGTTATTTGTGGGTGTTTATTTAATTATTTTTATATAATTTGTATTTTTGTTTTTCTATTTGTTTTTATTATCAGAGGATAAATCTGGCCATATATTTTAGTCTCGGATACGGCAGAGTGGGTGAAATTGGCGCGAGCGGGAGCCCTTCGCGCGAAAAACAATTTACCCTCTAAATCTGGTGCACATTGCAACGACCAAAATCGGTGCCAATAAATTGTTTTTTGAAATTTTCTTTCCGAATTCAAATATTATAAAATAATATTTGCAACGATAACAAATGAGCTGGCAGCTTTGTGTTGTGTGGGTTAGACACAAGATTGCATCGCCATTTTTGTATTGTGCTCTGGCTTTCACACCTTTTATTATTTTACACATAAAATTTTGTGGTGCAAAATGCAAAACAAGTTTGTGTATGATTTAAGACCGTTGTGCATGAATCGGTGTCAGAACTACGTGCTTTTGGGATGAAGCTTTCATATGATTCATACATAACGTTATGTTCTCATCTTTACTTATTTAAATTATAAAACAAAAATAAAAGAAAAAGAGTTGTCTCTCTCGGGTGCCTTTGCTTCTGCAGCTCATATATACAAATTATCTCCATATATTATTTAGACATTCAAGCGACATGGGAGTGGGGCTACTTGAGATATTGATATGGTTAGGGTGTCAAGTGTCAAGTATTTAAAACCATGTTGTAGATGCCTATCTCTATGTTGGCTGCCATCAGCCATGACAATTGTTTTGTTTTTTTTTGTTTTTCTGAACTAGGTAGATCTTAATTTTTTAAGGTATCGTTACATTTTAGCCGAACAAATAAAAATAGAATAAGTTCGTTCTTCGTTGTAGGTGGTACATTGTAATAAAATTTGCTTGTCCATAGGTGAATAAGGAGCTTTTTATCATTGACCATGTATGGTTTTAATTTATACTGAAAAATTCGTAATAAAGATTTTGGTTTGATTGGTTTTGGTAAAAAGGAAAAGTGAAACTTTATACATATAATTTTAAGCTTTACCCGGGAGCCAACTCTTTTCTTTTTCTTTTCGTTTCTTTATTTGTTTCTTTAAATATTGATGATCCTATTTGTTGCAGGGTTATTTTTCCCGTATTTGAGATACTTTATTTGTATCAACTAGCTCTTAATCTAGTGTTATTTGAAATGTCTCAAGTAGATTATTGTCACATAACTGAACTGTTTTGCATGTAATGAGTTTTGAATAATCCAATTAAGTTTTAAGAAGATTATAAGATTTTTGAAGGCTCATTATTTGTATTTATGTATATTTTTTGCTTTCTGGCAGAGATCAACAAACCAACTTTAAAATGAATATTTCTTGGAATTACAAACTCCCCAGCAGCAGGACAACTCAATTCCTCTTTGGTACGAAAAGGTAGTCTCTCTCTGCACTGCACTCAACCATTATGTTTACAACAACAGCCAGCAACAATTACAGATGAGAGAGAACACACACTGTGTCTATCACTGTATGTCTTCAAGCTCCTCAGACTTATCTTCCCTCCCTCTATGCCATGTAACACTAATAAAAGATTAAAAAACAGCCCTTTGCTGACTGTTTGCTGAAATTCAGTACTCTACTCTACGTGTTTCTTAACAATAGGGACGCGTGGACGGCTTTTAGGTCCTTTTACACGATAAATTTTTCTGTGCGATCGTTTATTCCACATACATGTTCTACTACGCCCTAATTCCATCCACACATGTTATAATACATGTTTCCGTTACTAATATCCTTATAAAGTGTTGATTAACCGACAAGGAGCTTGTATCTCAAGTACTTAAGAGTAGTTGAGGTCATGTGCTCGAATAATCCCTCTCGTAATATTATCCTTATAACATGTTGATCAACCTATAAGAGGCTTGTAGCTCGAGTGTTTAAGAGCAATTACCATACATTTGAGGTCATGTGCCCGAGTCCTCCCTTTTATAATATCGCTTATATAAAAAAACATGAGGATTAACCTTATAACATGTTTGATTAATAAGACTACAAATTTTTTTTCCCCCTTTACTATTTTTGGTGTCGAGGATTTCTAGGGCTGAGAGTCTAATAAGACTGAGATGTTGCTTTAATTTTTTTTTTCTTCTTTTCTTGGTCCTTTTATAGGGTACATTCTCCAAGAAATGAAGCTAGAGAGCGAAAGAAGATAGTGTGAGGACAAAAAGTGTTGGTGCTATAGCAGGTTATAGACTCAGACTCCATCAATGAGATTGTGATTTGTGGATTTGTGGTGGTGGTGTGGTGGTGGAGGTTTCCAAATTCCAACCCCAACCCATTCAAATATCCCTCTAAAATCAAAACTAAAACTGTACAAAGGTTGGCCCTGTTTTACTGTTAGAAAGCCTTCAGAGCAATCTCCCCTTTTTTTTTTTTTTCTCTTTCTAATTTACCTTTTACTTTTTTATACGATCATTATTAGCATTTTTTTTTCTTTCCTAAAACACCCCCACCTCTTTCATCATTCTGGTCAAAGTCAGATATGCCCACTCTCTGAAGATTCAGAAAGTTGGTTCATTTCCTCACATTTCAATCACAGCAACGGAAAGCAAGTAAGCAAAGCCCTTTATTGGAACTCATCAAACCATCGTCATAGCTTGCAGTGTATAGCTGAAAAGACCATCACAAGAATCACAGCCCTTGTTTGTTCGTTCAAGATCGTAGAGATCTTTTAAGCCCCATGGTATTAGCAGCAAGAGAAAACTCATCATGCCTATTATATGGGCTGTGGGGGTGGGGGGGTGTGGGCCCACATGGATCTTCTCCGTCCAGCTGTGGGCACTCTCCATGTAGAGGGGGGGCCCAGCTAGAATAGTCCGAACCTAATCATAATGTTTGTCTCATAATTATGGCACCACCCTACGGAAGTTACTCTTATTGATTGTAACTACTAGATGATGATAGACGAGAGTTGACCTGTGATTACTCGAGAGGCCAAGATCAGCCACTTTTCTCTAATTCACCTTTTCTTAATCTCCACACACCATGCATGCATTGTATAATAAGAATCATTACAGGTAAACAGTCATTACTCTAAACAAATCTAATTTACGGGCTCAGACCAACTAAACTAACCGGCATATGCAGTCGAAGTTTGTATATGTGTGGGACTGTGATTTGTTTGTGAGAAAGACACACAGAAAGAGACTAAAGTATTTTCCCATTATTGGTTACCCAATAGCATCTACAGTGAGTCTTTCTTAGACACCCTTGAACCCGCTAGCCATATGCAGAGATTGTTATGCTAAACAAGTAATCGACAGAGAGAGAGTGGTTCAATCCCTAATTAATGCGCAGCACCTGTTTACTGTCATGAAACTTGATAATTTATCTACCCACCTGCAGCAAGGGACAATCACAAACCAACAATAATACAACATGCCTCTGCAGAAACACGCCCTCCCCTTTCCCTTACGGAATTGCTTCTTTACAAGCATAAAGATACAGAGAGTTTTTTTTATTTATAGCATGGCAGAGAAGATTTCGAGCTTTATTTGCTGTTATTCACTCTTTTGTAATTGAATAGTACAAAGCAATAAAAGAGGGGGAAAACAACTGGTTTTTACCATCTTTCTGTTGTTCAAAAATTAATGCAAAGTGAAGCTCATGGGTGGGGAAACTTTAAAGTTGAGAATATTCTACCAGTTTTAGAACACAAAGCATTAAACAACTTTACCAAAACAAGCCAAAATCCACAGGATCATTATACCAATAGTACCATGGAATAAATGGGCAAAAATGTTTTATAAATTTACACAATTACCTGGTCATTTTCTCTAACGACTAGATTCGTGCCTTCTTGTTTTATGCGTTTGTTCACACAAATTCTTGTTTATATTGCATCGTGTGTGTGTGTTCTGACATTTCGGATAATTTATATAATTTGCGATTACCTGACTGGTTTAGCAATGACTTATTTGTGAATGGTGTAAGTTCTATTTCATCCAAAACTTCACTCCGCAAAAGTAATCTTCATACTAAAAGTATTTAATTAAAATTATTATCCTTTTCCCATATGTTTAGAGAATATATTGAAGTATTAAGTTTTTAATTTGATTCTGGGTCTGGCTAGTCTAGAATTTTCCAAGAAGAAATGATGTTTTGTCTTCAATACTAACAACATTTCTGCAGACACAAAACAGTTGTACACTTGCCCTGTTTTGACTTGTAAAAAGCCAAGTACCAGCTTAGACAGCGTGCCCATCTGATCTGCGCTTGACTCTTTTGACTCAAAATACCAGTTTCAACTACTCAATATCTAGTAGTCAGTCAAAGAATGGGACCACTTAGGTAAATAATTTCAAATAATCAGACTTCTAACTAAATGATACTAACTAAACTGATTTGAACCCGTCCTCTTGGGTGGTCCATGGAATTCCAGACCCATTCAGCATCCAACTATTACCAAACACAAACACAAAATTCAATCATCAGTTTTTCTCTCAATTGCAATGTTATTATCTCCTTTGAAGCTCAGCCAAAAAGCTACAAGATCATAAGATTGAACATCTTAGACTGATGGAATGAATTGGCCCAACTTCTCAATCGCAGACATAAGGAACTACGTAATTTCCTCCATCTAAATTCTTTAATTGAAGCTACAATGCATGACAAAGTTTCTAAACAATGAGAGAGGGCCAGGTTGTTGTCTAATGAGCTTTGAGGACCTGTAGGTATTGAACTAAGTAGTTCAACAATCCTATAAAATTCTCAAAGGCAGTTAGTTCCTAGGACAGACAGAAAAACCTCACATGTCATATAAATTGGAAAATATGTTCAAGGCCAACAAAAGGAAATGCAAGTCAACAAAGTGAAGTTCACTTCAATCATTTTCTTCGTCCTCATTCTTAAAAATACATTTGAGTGTCAGTCAAGGATTATCTACTACATTGACATTTTGTGGATCTAGGCTATATGTGGGTCATAGTACCCCTTCGCTAGAAAAATTCGAATTTCATATCATGCTGATCTCTAATTACCAAAGCCAAATTAAACTTCAATACAAGCATTATGAGAGATACGCATTTAGCCACTACCACGTTTAAAATGTTCTCGAATGAATCTTTCTGCATGGGATGGGTACTTATCTCGGATATATGCTCGAAGACACTTCTGGTAGGAGAAGTCAATCCATATACCATCAGTTCTTATGACAAACAGGCACCTTGAGTGTCTAAATTGGGGATGTCGATCAACCTTCAGCAAGAGAAGTTAGACAGAATTGGTTAATTCTCCTAGGCGAACACAACAGTGCACATAATACAGAGGTCGATAAGAAATGGAAAGGATAAATACCGAGTGAGCTGACTTAGCTAATAACATATTACTGATAACAATTAGAACTTGAAAACTCAATGCCAACCAATAATCATTTTCAGTTCTATTCAAATTAAATGAAAAATCAGAATCAGACTGAAGGGGAGAGAGAGTGTGTGTTTCATTTCATAGAAATAGTCAAAGAAAGAAGGATTTCTACTTTTCAACATAATACCCATTTATGGACCAAACTCACAAGCAAAAGGTAGCCAAAGAAACAATGAGACTAACATTAATAATAGTTCATTCATCAGCGTCCAAAACCATTTAATTGTGTTGAAAAGGAATGAATAAAAAAAAAACAATGGAAAGTAAGGCCCAAAAGTCAAGGATGAGTTATCAGAAGATCTAGAGTCCCTCACTGTTGTTATATTGCTTAAGACATGCGGCTCCCAAAAATGTTACTGGTTAAAAATTTGCAAATGCGCGTAGCCCATTACATCCATTGCACGACATGAATGATTCCACTTACACGGGGAACGAAAAGAACTTTTGGCCTAGACAAATGCTTTCCAATTGACAAAACTGTTGAAATTTTCTTTAAACTTCTTAGCTGTGTTTGTTTGTGCAGCGCTATTCGCATATATCTTCCTTTAAAAAAAAACTATTTGCATGTAATTCAGTTTTAGCTATGTCATATGGGTTAACTGCTTATAAAAGACAATTTGCAAGTAATAAGGCTTGACTGCTTATAAAATTCTGGCATCGCATGCACCATGGTTATCAGTGGAGGAGGGGAGGAAGAGGATAGGGAAAGGAGGAAGGGGAAGAGGTGACAGGAAGAGAAGAGAAAGGGAACAAGGAAAGAGGAAAGAAAGAAAGAAAAAAGAAGAATCAATAAGGGTAAAATGGGTGATACTATAATTTCTTTTCGGCCATAAAGATTAGGAGGATTGCTATGGATAGAATTACCCGAGCTATAATTAGGAGCACAAGTGAAATCTTATACCTATGTTGGAGTCGATGTATACCTATGTAAGCGTTTGATTAATTAAAAATAAGTGTATGGTTTTATGGAAGACATGCTTCCCTAGGTTCCCTCCCTGTACCTCTGTCTCTGACCCTGATTATTGATCCTGCTCCTGCACACCATTACCTTCACATGTTCACTTGAACACAAACTTGCTAGCTGCTTTAACCTATTTGCCTACCCAAGTCAGTTACTCTCCTCTCTAATCCCACATTGCTCCCACAATCTTTAGGCCTCCATCAACCCGTCAAAACAACCAACACTTTTCAAACTACCTGCTGCCAGATTGCAGAAAGCATCTCTTCCAAACGTCTTCAAGTTTTAGCCTTCAAGAATCCATATGAATGCCTCAAAACTAATACACAAACCTTTGGTTTCAACCTGTCAAACCATATTTCCCTAACCCAAAGACCATCACGAAAGCATCATCAGACTAGCTTCCTTAAACTATCCTACTTCAAGACTTCCATACACACACTAGTGGTGATTGGTGAGGTGACTCACAGCAATGCGGCTTTCAAACCATCCTTGATACCACCACAAAAAATTTAGTACCTGACTACAATTTTACAAGAGACGTTCATTTTCCATAGATTAGTGACACCAATTTCATGTTAAATCTTTTAACCGACACAAAAATTGGTTCGGCGATCAGCATTAATACTACACCTAAGTAAACAGAGGCTGAAAACAAAAAGGGGGCATGCACAGATGTTCACAAAAACCAGTGGTGGCTTCCAAAACATCCTTGAAACTATAGCAAACATATTGATACTTTCGAAAAAAATGAATGGTCAAATTCAGTAAAAAGAAAAAAGAGAAACTAATTAATATTACACTAATTAAGCTTCTTTTCTTTTTTTTTGCCAGTATCTTGTACTGTTTAAGGTATAAACATCATGTACAAATTTAAAAATCATATTTAAGAAACAATCCCCATTTGAATTATTATGATAGTCCAACTCCAACAAAGAATCTATCACTGTGATTATGAGGTATAGAAACTCACCATGATAGAATCAATTCCACAGCCAATTTTATCCTCAGAATGCGGATGATGAGCAAGAAGTCTTTCCACCACAACCTTTTCATCTTCAGCTGAAAGGCGCTCACCATCCATATACCTACAAACACCACCAAAAACCACTAAAAACCTGCCACCATAGCTTCCAACAAGGTTTACATTGAAACTGAGTCTGGACCTAAGCTCGTAGCGTACCTGTCAGAATGGAGAATCTCCTTGGCGAGCAAAACGACGGGCTCGATGTCGTTCAGAATCTCCCCTTCCTTATCCTTCCATTTACAGTAGTCAGGGTCGTCCCACCTCGGGTACTTTGGCGCCTCCTTGACGCTCAGCACTCCTCTCAGCGTAGACTTGTCCGCAGAGGACAATACACCCTCCGGCCCCGCCGCCCGAGTCGACTCGCTCGCGCCGCTGCACCACGCCCTACCACTCAGGCCCACCAGCCCAAGGCCCAGGCGCCGATGCTGGACCCGCACGCAGAGGAACGAAATGCTTCTGAGCAGCGTAGGATTGAGAGTGCTCATTCTCGTCGTCATCTCATCGTTTGAGTGGCAGCAGTGTATCGTGGATCGTGGTAGTGACTAGACTAGCCAGTCGATGACTCAGTGACTAGTGACTGATGGCGGTGGACTTTTTCGGAATTCTGGTATTTGTTTCGTTTTTTTTTTTCTCTCCACAAAAAAATTGCAGACCCATGAAGAAGGCCCAATTGCTCGTGGAGTTGAGAGTAAGGCCCATGGAATTTAGGATGGGATCCATCAATTTTTAATTTTTTAAAATTTTATGTTTCTGGTGTCTTAGCCCAATGCCTTTTGTGGCTTTGTGTTGAGTCATTCTAAAGCCCTTAAATGAGGCCATATCTTTTAACCGTATTAAACAAACCAATTTGATCTAACAACTAACCAATTTAATCCAACGATTAAGAGATAGAGTCTCATATAAAAACTTTAGATAAGACCCTCATTATAAAATTCTACACTTTGTGTAAACCTAAGAACGTGAACTAAAGACTGAAGAGTTTACCTCAGTGGTGAGGTCCCTCCTCCTTCCCCCCTTGGTCATCCGTATCTCAAGAAAAGTAGCCCCCTCCCCAATAGCTGTAATTCAAAAAGAACATGAACTAAAAATACATGGGCCATTGTACTGGATTTGGAGCAGGCAAAAATATCATGTGAATTTTAAGTTTTGAAAATAAGGGACAATTTTGAGGATAACCTTGTTGCCTCCTCACAAATGATGAAATTGGGTGTGTATGAAGAGCCAAGCATTGTTAATATAAAAGTAAATTAACATAATGATATCTACTCCACATGTGCACAACACAACACACCAAAAGAAAAAAAAAACCACTTAGGTCCAATTGGTTTGCGGATTAGAAGCATGGATATTTTATTTTATGTGTCAAACTTATTAATGGATGCGAATATTGTCAAATCAATTGTGCTTTTAAAAGATGTAAATACCTTTAGTGATTAAGAATAATTTTTATCATTGCGAATTTGTTCATATTACATACAAATGCATATTAGGGCTCGTTCAAGAGTGATTCTAGAAGAAGGATAGCATAAGAGAAGTGCCTCTCACTTTTTCTCTCCAAAATCGCTTGAAATCACTTTATTATCCATGGAAATGATTATTGGCCTATCCAAAATCACTCACAAACAAGCCTTTATTTACATAATTAAACTATATAAAAAAGGCAAAATTGTAGCAATGGTCCTTTAATTGTTACGGTGGTACTTTAATTATGCCTAAACTTTCAGAAATCGTCCTTACTGTCATCTCAATCAACTTTTCTGTTAAAAATGATGACATGGCAATGACAAGTCCTACCTAGCATGGGCAAAAATGTATTTTCACACAAAAAAATTTAAAATTAAATTAAATCTCTCTCTCTCTCTCTCTCTCTCTCTCTCTCTCTCTCTCTCTCTCTCTCCAGCCTCGATTCAAAATCCAAAAAAATTTAAAATGAAAGTTGAAGACAAAGAGAATTGGGCTTTTCCAAAGAATTACTGTAGCTTTCCCACTCCCTTTGATTTTCTTCCTAGCCCCAAATTTCTTGTCAATAATGAAATTTTGCTTGTTGGATTATGCTGGTTGTTTATCCATTGATATATTAGTGGTTTGCTTTCCATCATCGCTGAGACCTCAGTCCGTTTTCTCATTCTTAGAGCATCCACAGTGGGGGGGTGTATATGGGGGTGTATGTTAAATATACACCCCGAGTCACCGAAATCGTCTCCAATGGTGAGATGTAAATGGATGTAAATATACATCACCACCATGGGGATGTAAAATAAAATGTATATTTACATCCATTTTTACATCCCTTGCAGGCGGGACCCACCCGAGAAAAGAGAAGAAAAATGAAGAAAAGTCAACAAAAAAGGCTGGGACCCACGGCTACATCCCCGAATTTACACCCCCCACTGGAGCAAAAAACATATTTACATCCCCCGGAGGTGTAAAGGGGATGTAAAAGTGGCTTTACACCCCCGAATTTACACCCCCCCACTGTGGATGCTCTTAGGCTTTAATCTCTCAATCACAGATGAGAGATGGACTTTGGCTCGAGAATCGAAGTTGGGATTCAGATAAACTCATGGGGGAGTGAGAAAACCCTTTCAATCCATAAAAGAAATAGCGGATAATCACTCTGATATTGATATATTGGGCTCTCAAAAAGAATGGATTCTCTATTTCTTAATCAGCCAAGCATGACTTAGCTAGGTGCATGAAATTGAAACCTGTATGAGGAGCGATCTTCAGTGCAGCCAAAAACCCAAAAGGTGATGGAAAGCGATCCATCCTCAACCTAAGGAGACGGGCAATGCAAGCGGCCCTCCATCAACCCTCTGCTTCTCTGTTTTGACCAGATCTGGGGTGGAGGATGGGGGCTGAGGTTTTGGGTTCATGGGTACTGGGGTTGCGAGCTACGGTAGACGGGTAGAGGGTGGCTGTGGGATAGGTTTGAGGGTTGGAGCTTGCAGGTGGTAGTCACGGGGGAATGGGGAATAAGAAATCGTAAGGGGAAGAGGGATAGCGCACATGAGGGGAGAGAGAGAGAAAAAATTATGAATTTCCCAATTTACCTTTAATTTTGACAAAAAATTTAATAAGTTGACGGAATGACCAATGATGCCACATAAGATCTAATTGAAACACCACTGTAACAATTTAACAATATGAAAGACGAAAAGTAAAATTGTTCTTAGTCCATGGATCATTGCTACAATTTTGCCTATAAAAAAATATGCATAATTTTACACAAACTTTTGTATATGATGTACTTATTAGCACGTGTTGGTGGAAATCACATAACTCTTCACCTCATGGAATAAGAAATATTGTCAAGAAGAAGAAAAATATAACTGTTTACACCATAATCAACCGAGCATATCTAGCACCAAAACGACTAGCACCAAGGCAGACACGCCTTCTTCCCTACCGAAAGAAGACACTCTTCCAAGGTGGGAGACACCTGCCGAAGCTCCCGACTGCCGAACCTAGTCTCTAAGGACACGTGTCACCACCACAAAGACTGGCACAAAGTCCCACATCGGAATTTTATACAAACCTCCCATTTTCACCTCCCTATAAATAGGGAATAGTATCCAAGACGAAAGGGAGGTAACAACTTTCTCACTTTTACTGATACTCTGCCAAATTTACCACTCTTAGCTGACTTAAGCATTGGAGAGCATTCTGCTGGCACCACACCGATGCCCGAAGCTTAACGACTGCTTCTTCCACTTTGTCTTCTGCAGGGTACTCAGTTACCGAAGGTCTTAGCCATCTTCCTTGTTGAAGACCTTATACTTCCCTATCTAAGTTGACTTCCCAAAAAGAGCATCAACAATAACCATTCATGTAGAGTAACTTTAAATGAGTTTTGAAAGGTCAATGACTATAAATTAAAAATGTTTAAAATCTTATGTTGTATTTTAAAAGTTTTTAAAAATACAAAAAAATTGAAAACATACTTGGTATTAGATACAAAAATCGCTTTCAAATAAAAATAAAATAAAATAAAATGTTGCTAGGATTGTACATTATTTTTTTAAAAAAGAAGATTATGATTTAATCTTACTATAATCATGCCATGATTGTGAAGAGTAGTAGCTCTCTCTAGTCACTAGGATTGTACTGGTTTTGAAAATTGCACGCCACGGATCTTTTTATTTTCAGTAAACAGTGGGCGTTGATCATTCCTCTTAATAAAATCCATTTAACACTTGTAAAAGACGACACACCTGAATTGTCGCTATCCATTACTGTACTAACTTTAAATATTTGGTTGGTTTTATTTTGCGTAATAACTTCAAATTTTTAATTGACCATTTCCATTTATACGACTCCGACGCGACCAATCAAAAACAGGTAGAAATTTAAAATCAGGGTCGCGGGTCCCACAACTGGACAAGCAATAAGAAAGAGTCCACGATAATCACATGAAAGCGCCCGCTTTTGATTTTTCTCTCCCAAGTGGAAATATGACTATTCCATTTGCCAAACAACCAAGGAAAAATTAGAAAGGAAAAGTTTGACAGAAACAGCCAAATGCAATCCGATTTCAAGTCCGCCCCTCAAACATTTCCAGAGAGGTTGCCAGTGGCTCAGAAGCGCTCCTCTGCGGTGCTATCTACGATTAACCACGCCGAGGTGGCAAAGCTCGAACGTTAATTCCCGATTGGTCGTGGATGGGCCAGTCAGCTTCGGCGGCCGCAATCCCAAGTCGCCGTGAAAGCAACCGCGACAGCCATCGCTCCAAGCCCAAATCAACGGCTGCGATCTGCCCGATGGAGGCCGACGACGAATCTTCTGAGATCGTCAACGCGGCTTACGACTTCATCTCCGATCTTCCGGACGAGTGCTTGGCTTGTATATTTCAGTCCCTCGGCTCCCGCGATCGGAAACAATGCTCTCTGGTCTGCCTTCGGTGGTTGAGGATCGAGGGACAGAGCCGTCACCGTCTCTCCCTCGACGCCAAATCAGATCTCCTCCCTTTTATCCCTTCCCTCTTCTCTCGCTTCGACGCCGTCACCAAACTCGCCCTCAAATGCGACCGCAGAACTGTTAGCATCGGCGACGAAGCGCTCGCCCTCATATCTCTGCGCTGCCGTAACCTCACGCGCCTAAAGCTCCGCGCGTGCCGCGAGTTGACCGATGCCGGCATGTCGTCGTTCGCCAAAAACTGCAAGGCCTTGAAGAAGCTGTCGTGCGGGTCCTGCACGTTCGGAGCTAAAGGAATGAACGCAGTGCTTGACAATTGCTCGGCTCTGGAAGAGTTATCGGTGAAGCGGCTTCGCGGCATCACGGACGGAGCCGCAGCCGAGCCGATCGGGCCCGGCGTAGCTGCCTCGTCGCTCAAAACGATTTGCCTCAAAGAGCTCTACAATGGACAGTGCTTCGGTCCTCTCATAATGGGCGCGAAGAATCTGAGGACTCTGAAACTTTTCAGGTGCTCTGGCGATTGGGACAAGCTTCTCCAGGTGATAGCAGAGCGAGTCACCTCCATGGTCGAGATCCATCTAGAAAAGCTTCAGGTCAGTGACGTAGGCCTCGCTGCCATCTCCAATTGCTTGGATCTGGAGATTCTACACCTGGTCAAGACCCCTGAGTGCACAAATGTAGGTTTGGTCTCGGTC